TATTGCTTATTCTTATTTTATTCAGATCAGATCAGATCGGATCAGAAAAATTCAGATCAGATCAGATCAGATCAAATCAGATCAAATCAGATCAGATCAGAAAGATTCATATCAGATCAGAAAGATTCAGATCAGATCAGAAACATTCAGACCACATCAGATCAGAAACATTCAGATCAGATCAGAAGCATTCAGACCAGATCAGATAAGAAACATTCAAATCAGACACATTCATATCAAATTGGAAACATTCTATAATTATCGATATTATTATTATTATTATTGTTGTTGTTGTTGTTATAATTATTATTAGTATTATTTTTTATGATTATTATTATTATTATTATAATTACTACTACTATTATTATTATTATTATTATTACTATTATTACTATTTATTATTATTATTATTACTATTATTATTATTATTATTTTATTATTATTATTATTTTATTATTATTATTAAATAATTATAATTATAATAATAATAGTTATTATAATTATTAATTTATTATAGTTATTATTGATGTTATTATTTTTTATTATTATTATAATGATTATTGATATTATTATTAGAATTATTATTATTAGTATTAATATTATTATATATCGGTTTAAAAAGTTAAGATCAAATCAGATCAGATCATAAGCATTCAGATCATAAAAATTCAGATCAGATCAGATCAGATCAGAAAGATTCAGATCAGATCATATCAGAAAAATTTAGATAAGATCTGATCAGATCTTAAAAAATTTAGATCAGAAACATTCAGATCAAACGAAGAGAACAACTTCTTACTTTCCTTTTTAGGTTGTTCTAAAATAAGTGTCACTATAATTGTCTCATTTTTTTTATTTCTGTCAGTTTCACTAAATTTGTCTCATATCATATTTGGTAATATTTGTGTGACTCCAATTTATTCTTATGTTATCCCCACTTTATCAATTTATTGACGGTCATATAATCTACGTTTCTTTAAAATCGCACCACCTCTTTTGTCCCAATATCGGGAGGGGGCGAAGGTAGTGCATTTCTTTTTTTGGAAACAAATATGTGGTCCATAATATTTCACTTTTTACTCAAATTTAATCACAACTTTTACCTTTTCAACTAATTTATTAATAATTATGTCAAATCAAAATATGACATCTAAAATCAGAAGACAGAGTAATACCTTATTTTGTTATACAAAACAAACTATTTTGTTATGTAACACTAACAAGTGTTTCATGAATGCCTTGGGGCTCAAATATGCTAGAGCCGGCCATGGACGTAACCGACTATGATCAAATCATGATTTGTAGGAGGGTAGTTCTTGAACTTTAGAATTATGGAGTATAAGCTTCGACACCTGAATTTTCTAAAAAGGAGAAATAAGATTTAAAGCCCGTTTGGTGGCATGAAAATCGGCTGATTTGACTGATTCTGCTGAAATTTATGAAGTTCTGACTGCATTGGCTGATTCTGCTGATTTAAGAAAAAAATATTTTTAAAATATATTTTATTTATAAAATAAAGAAAAAAATTATACGTAAATATAGCTAAAATAGTCATCTACAGTAATTTCAGCCAATACAGGCAGAAAAGCAACTTCAACCTTACTTTTTCTGCTTATTACACAATTTAGTCCGCAAAGCAAAAGTTAGATGTTTAGTGAAAAAGTTGGTTGATAAGCCTCATAATCCGAAAAAAGTGTTGTCAAACGGCCTCTTATTCTTCAACTATTTATGATTGAAGACATGTACCATCTATTCACTTGGTTGTCCACCCAACTCAACTCGCAACCATTCACGGGCTCTGCTGACACTCCATGAATTGGGATTGATATGATCTCTACGACATCAAGTTTATTGTTTGCATATTCAAAGTGGCGAACAAAGCTCAATAATGAGGATGCGGTGTGTTGTGTTGTGTGGGCCACTACAGTTGCCTTTGCCAAATTGCCAAATAACTTTGTACAAATTGTGACTTCGCACAAAGCTTACCTGTTCTTTTTTCCTTTTATATTCAAATCAGTATGTGACACCCAACCAAGCTTTATTCCTCACTGGCCCAACTACTATAATCAACCAAACCAAAAGTATAGGAAAATTACATGAATAACAAAGTTGGGATTTGATTTGAAGGAGGGCCTCCAAGTTTTAATCACACATGTTAGCCCATTATTAAAAAAATCGTGGTGGTAGTAGAGCCTTAAAATAAAAATAACACATGACTAAAATAAAAATTATTAAAAAATTGTGACCTCTTAAGGCTAGTAATTTTATCATATATAATAACTTATGTTCCTTTTTACACTAATGTGACCATTAATAGTCTATGTGTATTAAGAATCCTTATGTATTTTGGCAGTCACTCTTTATTATAAATATACTCCATATTTGTTAGAGCTCTCATTCGGTAATCTATTCTATTATTTCACATGGTATCTAGAGCACAGTAAAAAGCCCTAATTTTGTTTTCAGCCACCTCTCTCTTCTCCTTAGTTCGGCACCGCCATGTAGCCGAAATCTTCTCCCGATGTGCAGACTTCTTCCTCAGCCACGACAAAGACTTCAACGTCTACTTCAACGCCAGTTTCAACAGCATCTGTGTCAGTTTCACTCACCTCATCCACTGGAGACGTGTCCCATGTCGCGTCGCAACCGGTGACCTATTCGGCCTCTGCTTCAACCTCGGCGTCTACGCTGTTCCCGGCGTCGGGAATTCCTTCTCACATAATGTCTGGACGGTCTTTCCTCCTGTAATAGTGTATCTATATTAGGAATCATTATGTATTTTGGCAGTTGCTCTTTAATCCATTATTTCACAGCCATAACATACTCAGTAATTTTAGTCCTAATTTTACGAATAAGTTTAATTTAGTAATGTTTTTGAAAAAATGTCCTTAAAATAAGTTTTCCTTACCTCTTATTTTCCATCTCATCGTCTTAACAAACTATTACTACTCACCCATACACCAACATTTTAAGTTACTAAAAATCTATGCAGTCATTATAAATTCTTGGCTATTACTATTGAACTAGCTTTCAAGCCCGTGCGATGCACGGGCAGTGTGTAATTTAGCTAATTTGAAATTTAATAACTATCAGATCACATATAATGTGATTTAAAAGAAAAATAAACTTAGTCTAGTATAGAGTCTTTTTGATAATACTAAAGTATTAGAATTAACTTATTTTGCTGAAATTGATTGAATTCTGGTTAAATAGGTGGAATCTCCTGAATCATGAAAACTATATGTGAAATATATTCCATTTGTGAAACAAAGAAAAAAATATATGGGAAAAAAAGTTAAATTGGTTGATGGAGTATATGGCCCGGGAACCCCCGATCCACAGACTCCTACTACTCCAATAAAGGCCCAATAGGCCCAGGAAGCACAACAGGCCCAAATCACAACGTCGAGAGTACCAAGCGGCCCACAGCGCACACCAGGAGTGCCTTCGGCCCCCTGGCCGAAGGCTTCAATTCTCACAGGAGGGCCAAATCAGGAAAACAAGGTGGCTGGGAGAAAACGGCGAAAATCAGTAGCCCTCGGCACCTAGAGCCCTCAGCGCTAAGGAGGTCTCCGGTACTCAGAGCCCTCGGCTAGTCGTCTACAGCCGAGGGCACCTTTTCTGACATGATATCCGCTCCACATGCGTATGGATCACCGTATCAAGTACGACATCACATCCAACAACCGCATTAAAAGCGGCCACATGCGATTGCCAGCGCTAACCAGTTGAGGTGACCCCTCGGCCAATGGATGCTTAACACGTGTCCCTGTCTGGTATTTATTGCTACTATAAATAGCATCTCATTTCCCCGTTGTAAACCACGCTAAAAACGCTGAATACACTTTCTAATATATTCTCTCTCTCTACTTACTTGCTCTGACTTCTCTCTAGTTATTCCCCGTAATAACCCCTCGGATAAGCTACCCCCGGGTACACAATCCATCATTGGTCTTCTACATAAGCATCTCAAGTAAACATAATTGTTATGAACCCAATAATAAAAAAACTATATTTCTTAATTGTTAGATCTTACAGTTTACTCATTAATAAGAACGTTTTTAATTGAATTAAAATTTCGGGTTTGATTTGGTATGAATTAATATGGTCTATTAGATGTCTGTTTTTTATGTGACTTATTGTTTTAATTATTAAAGTTTGATCTGATCTGATTTAATCTGCAACTGAAATCAATCCAATTAAAAACATTCTATTAAATTAAAAGTAGGAATTCGTAAACCTATAAAGATTTTCTAATTTGGATTAGGAATATATTTCAAAAGTGAAGGCATATTTGAATTTTAGGTGTAAAATAAAGAAACAACCAAAAAAATTACTTATTTGGCTAAGCTAAACATATTTACTTGTGAAAATATATATACTTTATGTTGGTTATAATTTTTAATTTCATTTTTAATTATTTACTTATTTGAAGCTTACTAATTTATTAATAGGTGTCGAATTAATAAGTAAACTAATTTGCATATTTGTTTCTATTTAATTCGGTGTAGTAAACTAATATAAATTAGTTTCCATATCAATAAATGTTATTAGAATTTCACTTTGATAACTAAAAATTATTTTACTTACTTGAAGCTTAGCAAATTAATTAAGGTGAATTTATAAGGATTTTTGTTTCCATATCAATATGCAATCAAAAAAAGAATCTAATAAAAACAAAATTTATAAAAATTAGTAAATAATTATTATATATAATGACATGGCAGGATTATGTGGCGCTTTGTATGCTCTTAAAAAGTTCCTCTTCTATATATATATATATATATATATATATATATATATATATATATATATATATATATATATATATATATATATATATATATATATATTGATTATTACATTAACCCACGACCATTATTCACTATCATAAACGTTCAGATATAGTTAGTATTAATGTAATAGATCATAAAAATAGGGATTTTATGTAATTTGTAAAACTTTGCCTATTATAAATATATGTGCTAGGGCTACAATTTGGTAAGCCACATTGATATTTCACATGGTATCAATTACCCTAGGTTTTCCGTCTCCACCCTAGCAAAATCATTCACACGAAGCATGGCGTTTTCTTCTCCTGCTCCGTCTACTTCCTCATCTACAGATATGGAGAATACATCATCTTCACCTTCTCTAACCGCTGGTATCTCCTCTAGTGTTATGCTGATTATTTCCCCTGTTGCTTTACCGCAAATTAACAATTTATCCACGTCTTCTTCCCTCGTCCAAGGCTCTAGATTTCCGCTGCCATTCACATGGAGTTCCCCATCTCCGGCGTCTCGCTTGTCAGTCCAATCGATTCCTCCAGTAGCTCCTCCACCTCTTCATCTACACCCGACAGTCCGTCTTCCTCTACTTCGTCCCCATCCCCACCCTCCTATACACCTGATAGTGTGTCTTCCAGTAACTAGGTTGATGCGCCCGGTAGCTCATCCTCCCTTCTGCCATGTCCAAATCTTCATCCCATGCAAACACGTGCTAAATATGGTATTTTCAAACCAAAAACAATTTTTAATCTTAATACAGTCATTACTGTGCCTGATCCTACTTGTTTTTCTCAAGAAAAACAAGATTTAAACTGGCGTGAAGCTATGGCCGAGGAATTTAATGCACTCATCACCAATCACATGTGGGACTTAGTGCCTTTTAATCCTTCCAATAATTTGGTTGGGTGTAAATGGATTTAGAAGACACAATATCTGTCTAATGGTTCCATTGAGCGCCACAAGGTTCGTTTAGTTGCACAAGGTTTTAATCAGCAAGCTGGTGTAGATTTTTCTGACACGTTTAGTCCTGTTGTTAAACCCACCACAGTCCGTATTGTTCTTACTATTGATGTCTCTCATGGTTGGATCATTCGCCAATTAGATGTCAAGAATGTGTTCCTTCATGGTCATCTTACAGAGGAAGTTTACATGCGTCAACCCCCTGGGTTCGTTCATCCTCAATTTCTTAATTATGTGTGTCATTTGAAAAGGCTATCTATGGTCTTAAACAAGCTCCTAGAGCTTGGTTTTATCGATTTAGCAGTTTTTATTGAGTGAGGGATTTTTGTGTAGTCGGCCTGATAACTCTCTATTTATTTTTCATCAAGGTAACTATATTGTTTATCTTCTTGTTTATGGAGATTACATTATAATTACTGGTAACTCTGCTTCCTTTATCACTGCATTCTTATCTACCTTAGCTCATGTTTTTTCTATGAAAGATCCGGGGAAGTTAAACTATTTTCTTGGTATTCAGGCTTCTCATACTTCTCAAGGTCTCTTTCTCTCTCAACATAAATATGTTAGTGATCTTCTTAAACGCTTTCATCTTCACACCCTCAAACCTGTCCGCACTCATCTTCCTTCACACACTACTCTCTCTCTCACTGATGGGGAACTTGTAGCAAATCCTACAGAGTATCGCAGTATAATTGGTGCTTTACAATATTGACTATGACACGTCCAGATATTACATATGTGGTACACTTATTTTCCCAATTTATGGATGCCCCACGCACTTCACATTTTTTGGTTTTTAAGCGTATTTTCAGCTACCTTCAAGGCACATTAGATCATGGCCTTTTGTTTAGACCTACGAAGGATCCTACGCTAGTTATTGCCTACTCGGAAGCTTACTGGGCCGGGTGTCCGGATAGTAGTCGTTCCACCACAGGATATGCAATTTTTGGGCTCTAATTTGGTGTCTTGGTGGTCTAAGAAGCAAACCAGTGACTTCAAATCCTCCACTGACGTTGAGTACATGACAATTGTTTACACTGTTCAAGATACATTGCATATTCGATTTGTGTTGTTTGAACTTGGATTTCCTGTTCGTGCTCCAGTCAAGCTAAAATGTGATAATATAATGTGTTTGTCTCTTATTTAGCTGTCAATCCTGTTCAGCATGCTCGTAGCAAACACATTCGCATTGACTCACTTTGTGTGGGAACGGGTGTCGCATGGTGACTTGGAGGTTGAATATGTTCCAACTCAACTGCAATTAGCTGATATTTTTACCAAAAGTTTGTCATCTCAGCGTTTTCATTTTCTTAAAGACAATCTGCACATTGTTTCCCCTGCACAGCTTGAGGGGTGTAATAGATCATAAAAATAGGGATTTTATGTAATTTGTAAAACTTTACCTATTTTGAGTATAAATATATGTGTCAGGGCTACCGATCGGTAAGCCACATTGATATTTCACATAATGTTCATCCATACAACAAGCAGTTAACTCATTTAAAATTTATGTACGTCGTCACTAGTAAATTACATCAACTCACCATAAATCAATAGCTACGTAGTACATTTTCTTGTTTGCAACCAACATATATCAATAGCTCAAGCCTTCATTTTCTTCACAAAATGTTTTGCAAAGTCAAAGGTTTTTAAATGGAGTATAAAGTTCAGTATCACTCAAAAAAGTGGAGTGTAAAGTCAAATTTGACCTCTATAAATACAGGCAAATTAAGAATAATTTATCACTCAACTTAATTCTTTTGAAGTGTTTTCAGTCCCACAAACCACATCAGACTTAAACAGATCAGACTTAAACAGAGATCAGACCAGACCAAACTTCCATAGTTATAAATACACAGAGATCAGACGTTTACCTGACCAGTTCAGACCAAACCAAATCAAACTTAAACAGACTAGAACATACCAGACCAGCAAATTTCAGTCCAAAAGAAAACATCCTGACCCTTGATCATTCCAATGATGACCCCTAAATAATTTTATATTTCAAATAAGATCCTTCACGAATCACGACAGCCCAATAAGGTCCTTCTACTTGGAGTTAGGTAACTCCGTTGCTCCATCAAGATGTTTGAATGAGACATCCTTGATTAGTTATCTATACATGGTATTTTGTTTATTGAAGACCCATGTGTAGTACACACTAGTAACATTTTTATTTTATTTTTACTGGGTAACATTTTAATTGTAAAGTGATTTTAGAAGTAATTGTTTGTAACATTTTAATAATAACATAAACTTTTTGGAAAAGGTGGAAGCCGAAACAGACGCAACTTTGGTGGTGGTCGGAATTGAAAAAGCTCTGAAGTTTACGTATTTTGATATTATACTAGATGATATTAGACTTATGCTTTGTGATAAAGAACAACTTTATAAAGTTTGTTATTGTAAACGATCCGCGAATCGGGCCGCTCATGTGTTAGCACGAGAGGCTGCTGCGGAGCCGGGTTGTAAAGAGTTATTTAACTCCGTACCTACTTGTATAGTCATCATTCTGATTAATGATGCTTTGATTTAATTAAATATGAGCTTTTCATTCAAAAATAATAACATAATTTTTTTGTTATGAGTTGATAAGAATAAAAATAGATTGAGTTGTAATTTAAGTTGAATATAAAGAAAAGTAACATTACGATTACAATTTCTATTATACTTTAATGCAGAAGGAAAAGAATAGGAAAAATAAAGAAAAACCCAAAAAACAAAAATGATGCACTCCATATGTAACTCTTGGGAAGAAAAAGAAAGAAAGGGAATATGTATAGTGGGATCGGTAGATTGTTCGCACGTGTAACGATCTCACAGTATGATTTGTCATCGTGGGGTGGGTAGACACGAGTAAGGTCTTGTTTGAGTATGATTTGGTCCAATTCTGGACCAGTTAACTCCAATGTTCAGATTGAATTTTTAACTAGAACTGGGTTTCTTTCAAAATAAAACTAGGATCGGATTAAACATTTTCAGTTTCTAAGTCATGTACATCTTCGAGTTTTAGGTTTGATTCTCTGCCCATTTAGAGAGTTGTGAGTATGCATAGTCTGTTTTTAAAGAAAGCATAAACAAGACTACAACTATGATATTGACCCATTAATTATAAACTTTGTTGATCTTTATCGTTTATTATTTAATAGCATTTCCAACGCAAAAACGTGAGCGATGCATACGTGACATGAGAGAGATACACAAATAAAAATTAATAAGTGAAATATTTATCTCCTTATTTGAACGGTGCACATATAAGAGCGTGGAAGGGGGAGAGAATTGTCATGAATTTATACTTTTGTGTTTATCTCTCATTCTACAGTGCACCGTGCACATTGTAGCATTGGAGATACTCTAATATTTCTGATAAGTTTTAGAGATGGTAATTTTAGTTATGTTTCGGGATATAAAAACTAAAAGCCTAAGTTGTGGATCCATGCTCAACCTTATACATCATGCAACAAGTTGTGTTTCTACTGATTTGAAATATATTACTAATCATACTCCAAAATTTAGCTCACTTCAGGTTGAAAACTAAGACGTTTATGCAAGACCTGTAATGTAGTGGTTATCATTTAACTTCGATTGAAACCTTGAAGCTTTGGCATTTGTGATTTAGGGGTTGAATTTGATGTTTTAGACTTGTTATAGATTAATGAAATATATTGAACCTATTATTTTGTGAGAATGGATCACGTAATGGTTTGAAATCAAACCCGGTACAGAATTTTAAAGATCGAAGTGAAACCTTGTTTTCCAATTCGATATTGTATTGCTCCGGTTCGATACAATACCGGTTGGACTGAAATTTACTGATCTGGTTTGTTTTGAACTGGTCTGGTAAATATGTGATCTCTCTGTATTTTGTAACAATTGAAGTCTGGTCTGGGATTGAAAACCGTCCAAAAGAAAACATAGACTTTATTTATGATATCAATTATCAAATACAGCTCCCATATCAATTGGAGCCAATAATAATATTCTAAGAGGGGCAACGATCTACCTAATTTAGCGCCAAATGAAATATGTTGGCAAAGAATTACATACTATGCTACACCTCAAAAACAACGTGGTGGACTCCCTCGCATTCAGGAGGCATATTGTTGAGATTCAGAGTAACCAATGTGGAATCCGAATCATATTCGAAGCCAGTAACATTTCCTCCAACCCTGCAGCTTCTTGGTTTGGCAGATGAGTACGCACCAAACCGGCCACACCCCTTCACATCCACGGTAACTACTCCCATTTCCGCACCGGACTTCATCTCATACTTCAGTTCCTCGATCGCTCCTCCAGCATTGAACATGTCAATGAGTCCCAGTGGGGCGAACCTCAACCCATGGACCAACTCCTTAATAGGTGTGATGGTGAAAATCTCATGCTCCAACACTTTCAAGGAGACAGGCAATGCTGCACCGTTTACGAGAACGGTGAGTTTGCCTTCCTTGAAAGAATAAATTGCGCAGTCCCCGTTCCAGTTGGAATCGTCTGAAGCTGCTTCGGATATGAGATGAACATCTCGGCCCCTAACGTGGCCTGTTATTGGCTCGGATTTGGTTTCATGGAACGTGTTTTTCTTCTCAACAACATCCCAAGCTGCACCTTGGCAGTTGTATACTCCCAGAACTCCAGTGTGTTTGTTCATGTTCCAGATCTTCAATAAGCTGAAAATTAAGGCCAGCATAATTTAGACCAAGTAAGTAGTTCTTTTTACCTATTCATCTATCCAACATTTCCCAGTCTTAAAATGTAAGTTTCATGCCAACTATTTATGAGTTGTTACTTTGGAAGGTTTAGTCCGAACTGTTCTTATCTGGTCCAAACTGTTCTCGTCTGATTTATTCTCGTGCCTTGTCGTTCGATATTATGTCTACTGTATTACTCCGTACTATAAAAGGCCAGTCTAGTCCAGTCAAATATGCTTGAGTCACTTTTCATCTAGTCAAAAGACTGAAATAAGTTTGTTCTTGGTTGAACTAAAGAAGGATAGGAATCACAATTTGAAGTGGGATTCAAACTTGTTGAGAGTGCCACAACGACCGATTTGGGAGAAACTTTTCTATTTTGAGACAATGTGTTAGATTAGTTAATCAATTGAATTCAGTCTTTTAATGTGATTTTCTCATATGTGTGATGATTCAGTTGAGTGCCACTATCATATACCTGATTCCATCACGAGTAGGATCGGAAAAGAGACAGTCCTTTGTAGGGCGGCCAGGCAAATGAGCTCGCAGAACAGAACCATCAGGGAGGACAAGCTTCTTCAAGAGATCGAAATCATGTTTCCCTGGCGCGTCGCTGTTACACATGACAACCTAAAGAGTAAATTCACAGATGTGATCTACAAAACTTGCCATGATTGAAGTTTTATGTTCTATCCATACCTCACATAGACTGGACCTCCACTGATTGCCCTGGCTGAGCCATGATACTCAGCCGCTGGGTGGAGAGAGTGGAACATATCCCAATCAGGCAGCATGAATTCGCCGAGGAAGACGCTGTTGTATACAACTGCAGCAATGTGGATAGTGTGTGAAACCGGAGCACGGGGATAGAAGTCATCAGATGCCCTCACAATAGCCACTTGTTTCTCACTGTTTCATCCAACATACCAGAAATCATCAAACATTGACTCCTTCCTTGAATACAAATCACACTCACACTCTTAAGACTCGGTTCTATACGGGTTTTGTTATTCAATCGTCCAACACAGAACTTGGGGTTTGATCCTAAAGGGTTAAACTCTCTATCTTACACTTGTCCAGTACACAGAGACGTAACATGTTATTTGTTGAATACCAGAAATATCTTAAAACAACATACTTACCAGTAAAGAGCATCATTGCCGTGACTCATGCAAGCAATGATACCATTATCAGGAAAATTCTTGGATATAGAAGAATCCAGAGCTTGATGGTATTGCTTTGTGATCTCCACCCTGCCCCCAAACCCGCCCCCCAGGGTCTCCAGTATGCATTGGACATCCACCTTCACCCCGTCAATCCCAGCAGATGCCAAATAGCTATGCATGTCATCGTAAAACTTGTGGACACTTTTCGGGTTAACCACGCCCAAACCCTGAAGTGCAATTGCGTCTGTTTTCCAGGTGGGTTCATGCTCCATAACTCCTTTTGAAATGCTTGGGTACTTGAGTTCGGACCCGTATTCCTCCATTCCCTGCACTCCGGGTCGGACCCCGCCCCAATAGCCTGTTATCGCGTGCCATACGTACACGTATTTTAAGCCGTGCTTTTGCTTGGCGATGTTGACGATGCTCCGGATACCGACGTTGTTCGGGTCGGACTGCTGGAATTTAGGGTTTTCCTTTACTCCGGTGAGTCTCATCAGCGGCTTCTCCCCTGATTCCTCCTTTGATGGGTCTCCGGCGACCGACTGCCATCCGTCGTCGATGATGACGAACTTCGGCGGCGTCCTGCTAGAGCAGAGGCTCTTCAGGCCGGCCTCCACG